CCGGGGCTGGCTTTGAGCCACTATCCTCAGATCTCAGCCTCCTGAGTAGCTAGGATTACAGGCATGAGCCACTGGCACCCAGCTGTCTTAACATTTTTATAGAAGTATTGAGCTGGAAATCTAATGGTGCTGAAAAAATTTAATAGAAATTCAAGAAGAGGGACAGAAATGTATGGTAGTTTGTAGTACAGGCTGCCCCTAATCTACTCGCATCTGAGACTCACCTGTGCCACTCACTAGCCATATGACCTTAGGCAAACTCACCCCTCAAGCCTCTGTTTCCCAATCTATAAAATACTGATAGTGGTATTTACCTAAGAGAGCTGATAAGGGCATTAAGTAAGATACAAGGTAGGTATACAGAGATATAGCCTACCACACTGCTTAGATGTATAAAAATGTCAATGATTGTTACTGTAACATCATTTACTAATAAAAATAATACCAATTGTCCCTTGTCCAATCTCCTGAAGAGTTGGATACATTTTTAATATTTTTTCCAGACCCCACAAACCACTGAAATCTGCTCAGTTATTTCATTTACTTTTTCATTAGAGCATCAGTGAAATGTTTTTAATTGTCCCCTTTAAAGCTCTGGTAAAAGAAGGAAAAGAGAGAGAAAGAAACCCCTCTGTAAGTGGAAGCCTTTGGTTGAGAAACAAAATGCAATAAAATCCTGAGAAATTCAATTACCCCTTGATTGGGTCAGGCCAGCTAAGAAGAGCATTATGCATTTGAAATCAACAAATTGGATTTGGTTCCTTCTGCAGCCTCAGCAATTGCTCCCTGCGTTCCTTCCTCATGAGATCAGAGGTGGCACTGTCAGCTCCCACATTCTGCTGGCTGACGTGTTCTATCTCTGCAGAACAGTTTTCTATTCCTTGTTTAGGTTCTAAATTAATGATACTTGCTTCTAAAGTTATTGCAGCTGCAAAATACATGCTGACTGTAAACTTCCTTCTTCCAAAATATGATATATATTTAACTTTTATGTAACATATTGTATGTTTTAATATACACATATATGCACATGAAACCTACTTAAAAGAATTTTTGCATGTGCATTTAGTGGTGCAGACCACAATACAACATTCAAATGCCTTGTGATATGAAGTACATAAGACTAAGATTTTTTTTGTTTTTCCTTTATAAAGCACCCTCCACCCTTCTCTGTAGATTAGATATACATTTGGAATTTCACTTCCATTTCCTTATTTCTCTTGACTTCACCCAAGATAGTTCTAGATCACTAGTATTAATAAGCACAGTTGGTGTTTTTTAGTGTGTAGTTTTTTTTTTCATTTCTACCTTGTGCATATAAGTCCAGGTAAGAATTCATGTAAGTCACCACAGTAAATCAGCAACAGAGAACATGTTATTTTTCGCTTTGTGACAGAGAAGAGAGAGAATTACTTTGCTCCCACTCTCCCATTGCCCCCTTTGCCCCCCAAGATTGCAGGCCTGCTGATTTGTGCATGAGTGGAGAGATCTGGCTGGTCTTGCAGGGCTCCTTAGCATCCAGAATGTGAGAACATGTCTCTAAATAGCTGCAGTGCAGAGCCTGGTTTTTCTATTATATATTTATCCTAAGATAATCTTTCAAATCCTCATCTTCAAGTGAAGGCCAATATCCAAAACATGTCCCCAGAGGTCCCCCAGTAGCAGTCAATTGGCTCCTCCTCTTCCTGTACTACCTGGCTCTTTCCTGCCCTCTGCTACTTGTCCCAGCCATATTGCTTTTCACCATGTGTTAGTCTCCTTGCTTATAGGGACTTGGCAAAAAGAAAAGATCTGAGCACTGGTGGTTCATGTCTATCATGCTAGCTACTCAGGAGGCTGAGATCTGGAGATGATTGAAAGCCAACCAGGACACAAAATTCTGAGGCTCCATCTCGAACTAACCAGAAAAAATGCTGGACTGGAGGCATATTGTTTGTGAGAAAGCCAAGGAGGTGTTCAAGTCCCAGTACCAGCACAAAAAATTAAATAAGAAATAAAGTAAAATATGCAATTTGATGTACAGAGAGGTCATGCGCATCATCAATTGTAGACTATTGTCATTGTCCTCCACAAAAAGCAATCCCAGACCACTTGGCCATCACCCTTGATTCTTCCATGCCCAACCATAGCTAAACACTCATCTGCTTTTTGTTTCTTGTGAACACTTCCTGTGCTTTTAACTCAGCATGATGCTACATGGTACACTATACCTGTACTTTATTCCTTTTTATTGAAAAATAATATGCCATCCTATGGATAAACCGTATTTACTTTATGTTTTCATCAACTGGTGGACATCTAGGTTGTTTATGCTTGAGAGCTCTTGCAAATAACATTGCATGAATATTCTCCTACAAGTTTTTTCTGTATACCTTGGGTGCCTCTTGTAGAAGTGAAATTTGCTGGGTCACGTGATACTTTACGGTTAGTCATTTGAAGTACTGCTGGACGACTTCCAAAGTGGCTGTTCCACTTTACATTCCCACCAGTGATGTACAGAAGTTCTCATTTCCCGTGGGTCCTTGCCAAAACTTGTTTTACTAATCACAGAATCTTTCTTAATGTCACCATCCTGGTGGATGTGAAGTAGCTCATCATGCTTTCTACCTTAACTTTGGATCTGGGGAAATTCTATACATTTTTAAGAGTGTAGCCTAATTATTTTTTTATTAGCTGGTCCTGAGGCTTGAACTCAGGGCCTGGGCACTGTCCCTGAGCCTCTTTATACCCAAGGCTAATGCTCTACTACTTAAGCCACAGCGCCACTGCCAGCTTTTTCTGAGTAGTTTATTGGAGATAAGAAAGAGTCTGATGGACTTTCTTTCCCCAGCTTGCTTTGAACCATGACTCTCAGATCTCAGCCTCCTGAATAGCTAGGATTATAGGCGTGAGCCACCAGTACCTGGCCAGCTTCAAGATCGAATGATCACCCTAACCTCAGACTAGACTCTGGCTTTTCTCAAGTTCAACATGAGCAAGCACAGTCCTAATTCCTCTTTTTCTACCCAATGTGTGCCTAGCACTTAGCCACTGTGTGAACTCTAGAGTTACTTATCAAAAATCTATTAGGTGAAAGAAATATTAGATGAGAAAAACAAGTGTACATTGTCTGAAACTTACCTGTTTCAGATTTGACATTACCTTTCAATGTATTTTGTTTTTAATATCCCCACATTTCAAATGATCTTCTGGCTTAGGCAGGAAAGGGGCTGTACAATATGGCCATAACCAATGTTCCCAATGTTCTCTGTGTTTTATTGTAGCTGTCCACCTTTATGTCGGTTAAGGCAAAGGCTCTTTGTGAGCAAACTAAAAAATCCACAAACACTCTCGAAGTGGAGTTTGAAACAGCTCCTTGCTATATTGAGCTGTAAATTTAAAAGAATATGACTTTAAGAAATAAAGGGGTTGGAACTTAGTAGTTTATGCCATCATGATAGAACTGACCCTATAAAACTTCCAAAAGTTCAGTCAAATTAGGATCCATCAATCATCATACTAAATCAGTAAGGCTCATTTTAATCCCTGCTATTTGGGAGACTGGTTAAGAGGATTATGAACCAAGGCTGGGGCAAAAGTGTGAGACCTTATCTGAAAATAACCTAGAAAGAACCATCGACAGTCAGTGATAATTCAACTCAGGACCCTGCTTCGTATGAGTAAAATCTAGAAAGCAGACCAACACAATTGGAGCAGGATGGTGGAGTTTAAGCTGCAGAGGAAGGAGTTGACCATTCAGACAGCTACACTGGGTGGGCCATGTAAAGGAATTGAAGTGTTGGAGAACTGGAGCAGGAGGTGTCCTAATTTCAAGTCCCCTGTCTGCTTATGGTCCCCTCTCTCTTTGGAACCACTAGCTATTGTGAAATGCAGTCCACTGATACCTACTACAATATTTATTTCTGTATTTCCCATGGGATCTCTGCAGATTCCTTAATGAATTTCTCTCATTATAATGCCATCATGCTCCCAAGTTATACCATGCAGTGCTTTAGAAAAGGAAATGGAAAGACTTGGAAAGAATTATATTAAGTGATGTAAGCCAGGCACAAAGAAACATAGGTCCCATGGTTTCCTTTTTTTTTTTAATTTTATTTTATTTTATTTGTGAACATACTGTATAGAGGGGTTACAATTGCATGGGCAGGATAATGCGTGCATTTCTTACCAAGCATTGCAGCCTTCTCCTTTGTTTACCCTTCCCATCCCTTCCCAGCCTCCCCCCTCCCCCCCATCCCAATCCTTCTCCTTGAACTCTTTTTTTTTTTTTGGTCCGGTCGTGGGTCTGAACTCTGGGCCTGGGCGCTATCCCACCACTTGAGCCACAGCGCCACTTCCGGTATTTTTTTTTTCTTTTTGCTTATGTGGTGCTGAGGAATCGAACCCAGGGCCTCATGCGTGCAAGGCAAGCGCTCTACCACTGAGCCACCTTCCCAGCCCCCATGGTTTCCTTTATTTGCAATAACTAGTATATATCTGAAGCAGAAAAGGTCAGATAAGATGATGTTGAGCAAAATGAACCCCAAGATAAAGACACAGGTGTTTTTTGTTTCTTTCTTGCTATTGTTTCGAACGTATTTATAATGTACCACGTGATTTTTTGTTGCTTTGTAGGTCCCTCCCCCATGGTATAACCCCTGTTTTCACTGTTTTTGATGATGGTATAAATTGGGGAGGGGAAGGGAAAAAATGTTTAAATAGGGATACAGGTGGACCCATTGCAACAATGAGATGTACAAGACACTATGTTGATAAACGAACTTTACAATTTAGGTGGGGGAAGGGGGGCAGGTTGGGGGGGGGAGTGTAGTGGTGGAGATGGGAGGGAAGGGATGGTAGGGGAAAAAACAAAGGAGGAGGCAACAGTATTTGATGAGAAATGTACTCATCACCTTGCTCATGTAATTGTAAGCCCTGTGTACAGTATTTTCACAATAAAAACCTTCCAATATTTCCCTCCATGACATGTAAAGAGCATCTTATTCACTCTGGCCGTGTAGGTTGCACCAGGTGACCTTTGAGGTGCCCACCTGTGAGGGAAAGGAGCGGCAGAAGCTGGCGTTGATTGGCGACTCCTCATCCTCTGCAGAGTTCTTCGTCACCGTTGCTGTCTTTGCCTTCCTGTACTCTCTGGCTGCCACTGTCGTGTACATCTTCTTCCAGAACAAATACCGAGAAAACAACCGGGGCCCGCTCATTGTAAGTGGTTTTCTCTTTTTTTTTGGAATAACTTCCCTGTCCCTTCTACTTTCTTCTACGAATGCTTGAAGGGCTTTGGAGTGAGCATTGAGCCCTCCAGGCAGATACTTGAATGGAAATCAGAGTCGTTTTTTGTCATCCATATCTCTTGTCTCTACAAGGGCATGATGCCTTCTAGTCTCTTGTGTCCTTGTGTAGGAAAAGTTAGCTCAAAACTTGGTTTAAAAAATCCAATACCCTCTGGAATATATGACTGAAAAAAATCTCATGAGAGCCAGGAAAAAAATGCTGAAACTTGCTGCAGATTTACTTATAATTTATGGAAACAGCCATTATTTTTCACTGAATTCTTTTTCTTCTTGTTTAGCAGTACTGAGTTGTGAACTCCATTCCTTGGAGGCCTGCTTTCTGTTAAGCCAGGCTTCCAGCTCTGTTTTCTTTCTTTCTTTCATTTTTTGTCAGTCGTGGGGCTTGAACTCTGGGGCTGAGCTCTGTCCCTCAGCTCTTCCGCTCAAGGTGAGCGTTCTACCACTTGAGCCACTTCCAGTTTTCTGGTGGTTTATTGGAGATAAGAGTCTCATGGACTTTCCTGCCTGGGCTGGCTTTGAACTGTGATCCTCAGATCTCAGCCTCCTGACTAGCTAGGATTACAGGCGTGAGCTACTGGCATCCAGCTTCCAGCTCTGTTTTCTGCTGGTAATATATGAGATAAGGTCTTGCTAGCTGGGCAAAATCTGCCTACAAGAGGCTTCTCAGTAGCTAGCAGAACAGGTGCATACCACCCTGTCAAACCCCTCACTGAGATGAGGTCTCACAAAGTTTTCTGCTGGATCTAGACTTGGAAGCACAGTCTCCATCATCTCAGTCTCCTAAGTAGCTAGGATGACAGCATGAGGTACTAGTAGTGTCTGGCTTCTTACTATTTAGTCTGTTTGATTTGTGTTTATTTGAATGACGGTGTTCCCTTGGTGGATGGTCTGGCCGTAGAACTGTTTACTTTGAAGACAGACTTCATTTTCTGTCTCCATCTCTCTGTCTTGGTTTCTGTCCCTTCTCTTTTTGTCTCTCTGTCTCCATTTGTCTCCTTTTCTCTGTCTGTGTGTCTGTGTGTGTCTCTCTCACTGTCTCTGTGTCTTCCCTGTTCTTCCTTATACACTATAAACTACACCATCCATCATCACTTTCGGTTGCTGTTATACCATGATCCAAAGACTTGTGGGTAAACTATAGGCCAGCATGTCAAGTCATGGATACACACATACTTAGCAGAACACAAACATTCTCAGAGGGATCATAGATGTGGATGACTTTAAGTAAGTATACTTTTAATTTGCCTACCTTTTGCTTGTACATTTAGCTAAAGTCAGTTTTCTTGAGAATGCCTTATATCTGAAAAATGTCTTGCTGTCTTTGTTCTTTAATCAATGTGTAAGTCAGTTTTTCATCATTATAACAAGGTGCCTGAGATAGAGCTAATTTTGATTCACATTTTATAGTTTCTAGCCTATAATTTGGCAGACCCATTGCCATTAGAATGGCTTGAGGAACTACTCATCTCAGAGAGAGGAAGGAGCCAGGGTCCCACACTCCTCTTGAAGGACACATCCCCAATGACTTCCCACAAAGACCTCCTACAAAGTCCTGTCTCTGAAACCTTCTCCTACCTCCAGATAACACCACCCTAAGGACGAGCCATCAACATGGGGGACATTCACTATCAAAATGGTAGCAATCATCTCCTTCCAAATTATAAGACAAGCATCATTCTTTACCATTCCAAATCTTCCTACATGGTACAATTACATGATACACACATATGAGACACTAAAAAATGGAATGGTCTAAAATACTTACCAAAATTTGTTTGTCTAATACCTAAGTAATGACTCTTGGGGATATAAAGAGATTTCCAACTTCTTGTTTTCAGTTGATTATTAAAATAATCTTCAATGACAGATTGCTACCTGATCTGAGGTAGAAACAAAGAAATCAATGGCATTGTTATGGAAAATCTCCTTCTATTCCCCCCACCCCCCGTTCAGTCATGCAAGTCTTCTCACATAGACATTTGTAAAATTTAAAATGGAACTAACATTCATGCTGACTCATGTCCCATCCTGGAAATTAATAATGTATCTAAAACTATCTATAAACTAATGAAGACAAAATAGCCTGCCTATCTAAAATATATAGGTTTTTGATCATTTTTGCTTTGTAAATTTAATACTTATTGACTAATTGTCACTAAATTTCTAATACATTTTTGGTGTTTGGGATGATTATACATTAGTAATGCTTGTAATGTCCAACCCAAAAGAACATTGTAATACTTAAATCTTTGAAGTCACAGGCAATCAAACAGTAATTTAAATTTTTGTACATGTTTTTGTTTCAAAGAAATATAATAAAGTGATCAATAAAATGCTTTCAAAAGTACTACATTAGACTCTAATTTAACAAGCTGAACAAAATAAAAAACATGTGAAATTCCCAACTGTAAAAATTTTGTTCATTAACTTCTTGATGAATGAGAAAAATATCAAGCAAATATTAATGTATTCATAATATTAATTTCTGTATTATTTAGAAATGGAATCATCTTAAAATTGATATCCTAGATACACTTAAAATATGCCAGCCACTATGTTCTCTGCAACTATTTAAACTTTTACTGAAAACAAAATTAGATATCAACTTTACACAAGTAGGAGCCTAGGTTTTGAGAAAATCTTTTTGGGAGTTTATAAAATGAAGTTTACAAACCTCTAAACTAGCTTATATGTGGAACTAATGAATAATTTTCACATACAAAATTAATTTTAATAGAGACCCAAACCTTAGACCAATTTTGAAGGATGACTAGGAGAAACTAGTTAAGTTGGAAGGAGATAGAAAGAGTTCAGATTTCAGTCCTGTTAACTCCAGAAGGCAAGTGATGCCACCTACCCAAAGCCCTTGGGCAGGTGTCTGGGTTGTTTTATTGCTTGTTTGTTTTTGTTTTTCTCTCATCCTAAATTGAAGCTAACAGTCTTACTGTCGCAAGCTAACTTTAACAGTCATCTACCGTGGACTTATGTCTCCTGTGAAGTGTAGACAGGTACATAAAAGAGATAGATATGCATAAACCACAAAACTAATGCATACATTCATTTCTCCATGCATGGAGACACTCCTACACATTTTGACAGTCTAAGAAAATACCTTAACTTTTAGAAGGAAAAAGTTAGCCCAGCTAGTTTTCCCATAAAATGGGGGAAATAGCCATTTTGTTATATAAAACCACATTCCACTCCTATGAATCATCTTGTAAAGGTGTGCTGTTTTGTCCCTGGGTAAATAGTCTTTGCCATCAAGCAGGATCTAATGAAATCCTGAATTGTGTAATATACCAGAAAGGTGGTTGTTTTTTTTTTTATTACATCCTACCTGAGGGTGGAGAGTGGATGGGGGAAGATAATTCTGGTAATAAAAAAAAAAAAGAAAGGCTCCAAGATGAAACTTTGTGATATTAAAAAAAAAAGATGTGTTCATTATTTAGCAGATAAAAGTTAATTTGAAAAAGAGCTCAAGTCCTACAAGCCACAAAAAGAGACTGTGTATGGATAGGTAGAATGCCAGTGGAGCTGTAAAGAGCAAATTATCAATTCCAATCCCACCACAGCAGGACCATGGTTGAGGAAGAAAGACAGATGGTTACACCATTCGAACAGCAGATTTTAAAAACTGTACACTGTGAGCAAGATTTCAAGAAGGTAGTGCGTACTTAAAACACCCAACTGCCAGAGAAGTGTTTGTTCAGATGTTAACAATGCTTATAATAGTCGAGCTTAATCCTATTTTTTTCAAAAAGGTAGTGACTAATCGTTACCAAGTAGTTTTGTTCCACTTACCATCTATTCTTTGTTATTTTGTTTTTGACATTATATATCATGCTTGCATCAGATCAATATGTAGGAAACTGACATGGATGGTAACAATGATAATACCAACAGATATAACGATATTGATTGAGATTCTGCTATATATTGACCAGATTTAATAGAAAAACTTTTGTTTGTGTTATTATTCATATTTATAGACGAGGAAAGGGAAGCTTAGAAATATTGTCAAATCCCCTAGGTTATTATCAAGTCAAGGATATTATCTATGTGGGTTATTATCTCTCTCTTAGATATTATCAACTCTAAGTAGGCACAAAGTGTGTATCTCTTTGGCCCAAACTCAGGACCCAAAAGTACTCAATTTTAGAGGGCCAAAGCTTCTAGTAGGCAATGTGTTACAGAAGTTAGAGAGCCAAAGGTAGGTAAGAAAATTTATTTCCAACACCTTGACAGTTCCTAACCTAAAATCCCTAGACTCTTCTGCTCATTCAAAATCCATTTGGACTTAAAGAGAGACTTCCCAGAATCTCTGATGCTAAAATAATGGGAGGGTTCTACTTGTATTAGAGGGTTGAATTTTTTGCTTGTTTGTTTTGCACTAAGAAAATTCCAATGAGGAAAAAACAGGCTTTAAAATGGCCAGGGTTGGTATATATATTATAAATCATAAATTATGGATATCGATTCTTATGTATTTGAAAGCAATCATGAGCAGTTTCTGGTAGGCTAGGGCCAAACTTATCAATAGATGCTTTAAAGAATAATTCATCTACTGAAAATGTAAGATGAAATCATCCATCTTTATGTGAAAAATGGGATTCTCAATATCTTCTGAAGTAACATAGTTGTTAACAATGTTAATGACACAGCAGCAAGAGAATTAAGGCAAAAGAACTAGCCAGCTAGAGTACATCACTGCAGTTAGTGTGTTCTTGTAGAGGAAGACCTGCTAGCTATCAACAAGCAGAACTGGGGCTGGGAAGGTGGCTCAGTGGTAGAGCGCTTGCCTCGCATGCCTGAGGCCCTGGGTTCGATTCCTCAGCGCCACATAAGCAAAAAGAAAAAAGCCGGAAGTGGCGCTGTGGCTCAAGTGGTAGAGCGCTAGCCTTGAGCTGAAGA